TTTAATATTTAATTTTATTGCGATATTAAGTTTGTTGTGAATAATAAAATAACTTTATTATTGTACTGGATTTATGTGGGGGGTGCGGTAATGGCGCGTTCCCCGATTCGTATTAATGTTACAAAGTGTGATTTGTTTAAATTACACGTTTATGTGTGTCGCCATGATTCGATTAGTTTGTAGTTTTGTTACAAATGAGTGTCATTTATTGAGATTCATTACGGTGACGAATTTCATTGTACTTAGATTATTATTATTGTAAGTATTTGTTGTTGAGTTTGATTGAGTCAAGAAAAGTTTTCGAGTTGGTACGTTCTTACACCTTTAAAGGTTTTCTTTTCGTTACATTTTCACACCTTTTTTTACAAAGGACACGGAGTAGGGAGCAATAGGTTTAACTCAATGGGTGCTAGCGAGTAGACGGATCACCTGTCACGAACATCGCCACCACAATGGTAGTATAGAAATAGAAAATATAATATTTTCATCATATACTTAGGTACTTATGTGTAGGTATTTAGTTGAAGTTAGTAAGTCATGTGATACTTACCTACTCATTTTGCCGATGAATTGAATAATTGACAAGCAAGAAAGCTATCAAATAAACCACATCCGACTCAACACTATAGCATACAAAAAGAAAAACATATTATGAATCTATGACTCAATACAATCAAAATGCAATGAATGGATTCTATAACGAGCGTCCGTATTACCGGCAGTCATTGCCTATATCCAGCCGTATACTGGCCGATAATAGGCTAAAGTTATGAATGAATGCCCTATTGTTTCTCATTTTATTGTTGGTACAATCAGAATTCAGTCCGCGGACGCATTTTGGAAGATTATCAAGTCAATTTTGTGTGAGAACGCTATACGAGACTCGACTTAGAAAATTTTCTTTTTTAGTTTTACCGAAATTGTATTTTTGGAAAACTTTTTATCACGTCTGAAAAAGACGTTTTGTCTGATTTTGATGATAGATCAAGGACAGAAGGATTAAATTGATGGATCAAGGAAAAACAATATTAACACATTAACATTTAATATTTTATTGTTGAGTAAAATTTATTCAAGTCAAGTCCATGCTTTTATTTCAATTAATCCTTAGTTAGGCAATTTTGAAATGTCAAAAATTAACTTGTCCGTCCATATGTCTGTCAGAGAAGTTAAGCGCTTGTTCTAAAGTGTAGTTTCGGAGAATTCAAAGGAACTCCCCCAGATTAATCAGCACCCTAGTACCTTACTGTTTGAAAACGGCGACAGATACCGATGGCGTTGTAGTTACTAATACTAGGCAGAAAGGTTCTACTAGACTAAAACACCACAAAGGATATTATTTATTCTAAATCTTCACTTAAGTAATCATAACACTGATTATCCTTCTCATTTTAACCATTAGAAAGTTGTGTCCGTCTCGTTGCTCAAGAGATTGTGTGTTCAACACCAATGCACGGATTACTGTGTTATTAGTTAGGTTATTTAAATCTACTGACGATTACCAGTGCATAATAGCATTACCAATACCTTCAGATAGTAATAAAATTGCATCTATAGAATTGCTTCCTACCCTGCATAAGGCACGTATGATATATTTGATACTAGCGACCCGCCCCGGCTTCACACGGGTGCAATATGCATACATTATAGATATAAACCTTCCTTAAGATTCACTCTATCTATTAAAAAAAACGCATCAAAATCCGTTGCGTAGTTTTAAAGATCTAAGCATACATAGGGACAGATAGACGGCGGATAGTGACTTTGTTTTATACTATGTAGTGATTACAATCTTATCTTCATTTAAAATACATGACACACAATAAAAGTTTCATAACTCATAACTACACTAAAAGCCATCAAGCTTTACCAACAAATCGTAAATTATCATGTACACATCAGCGGTGTCCCAAATAGCCACAATCAATTTAGCGGGGGACTTGCTAAGTGTTCAGGGGAGGGGGACAAATTGTTCACTAATGACCACCTCGACGGCCAAGTGGCGGTGCTGGCTTTGGACGGGAGAGAGTCAGATTCAGATTGGGATTTTGTAATGGATAGTGGAACGAGATTAAGATGGTAGTTATGTATGGATTGTTAGGTAACAAGTACATACCTATACAAAATTGTAAATTAAAAAAATAAACAATGTCAACGTATGCGGGAAATTAAAGAAAAAAGAGTTAAATAATAACCTGTCATTCCATGTTTGTACTTATTTTCGGCCAGTAACGTTATAATAGATATTCTTAAAATTAAATTACAAAATTTGAAAATATAAACCTACACATTTTGGCCTGACCTAGTGCTCAATTGAACAACGAGGCAGTAGCTAAATCAGATACTTATACTTACCGACCGACCATAGTCAGGGTACCTAGGTACTATAATAAATAAAAAAACTATTATTTAACTTAATTTGTGAGTAAAAGTAATTACCTAGACCATTCTGGGACAAAAAGCACTCAAAAAAGAAAAATAACTTAAGTACCAATGACATAAAAATGTTGATAATGAATTAGACAATAATAAATAATCGGTGTGTCTTGTTAGTAATTTTTTTTTATACAAGGACAAAAGTAAAGTAGCGCAATAACTCCTAACCAAAAGCGAAACGACATAATTTAAACATCTACTTACTTATAAACCATAACAGTTAATACAGGCATAATTCAGATTCACGCCGCAAATCCCTCGGGTATTTGCGCTGGCGCACTTAATTCTATGTCAGTCACTGTCGCAAATTATTCACGTGTCGGTCTGTTGAGGGAATAGAAGAGTGGTGTTACCACAAGCTTTGTCAACTGGGAGTTGGTGTTTTAATGGATTTATAAGCAGTTTATTGTTGAGGCAACGATTTGTGAAAGGCCTTGTAAAACGAGATAGATAGGATTAGGTATTTAGAGAGATACTTCAAACGGAGGAATATTTCAAAAGGAGCTTAAGAAATGACTAAAAAAAATAGTCCAAACGAAAAAGTGTCAGGAAAACTACCCCGATTGTCAACACTCATTAAAGGACATGGGGTCCTCCGGGGACGAAATCTATTTATTTATTTATTTTATACTTCTGTACGACTGTACCTATATAACATACGATGGCGGACTTAATGCCGGGTGGCATTCTCTAACAGTCAACCATGGGGTGATGCAGAGATGTGTAACAGTAGGTGTAATATTTATTATGATTTAATTTATGTGACACAGAATAAATCCATATAATATAAATAAATTCATAATTAACGAAATCCTATCGCATTTTGCGATAAATTGCTGTTTACATTTAATAAAACAAAAAGAAGTTTCACTATCGAAGTTCGTCCTGCTATTTCTAAAATTATAAGCTTACAATTTAAGGTGCATCGAAGGTCGGTAACATAAGCGTAATAAATCGACTTCGCAGACGTAACGAACTTTATTAGACTGTAAGTTTATTTACCACTTAATACCTCATTGATATAAGAAAGAGCTTTCTTTTTATTTATAACATTAACAGGTAGATGCAACAAGTATGTTTCACTATTAAAATCATAATCGTGGTGGCCCGGAGGTTTAACTCGTCGAGTACCGGTTTTATAGACACAATTAAAGAACAATAGGTCGCGGTCACCGGTGACCGCTTGGTGTTTGACAGTTTAAGATGCCCGCTTCTCATATGAGGGTACAGTTTCGAAACCTACCAACGGCAAATACCAATGTGATTTTTTCCGAATTATATGTAGGTACTTTCTAAAGTCATTTAGACACTACCGAAAAACGGTTAAGGTAAATATCGTGAGGAAACCTGGGCTTATAATTTCTAATTATAAGTTTGAAATCGCCAACATACATTAAGCAAGCGTGGTGATTAATGCTCAAACCTTCTCCGTGTGAGAAGAGGCTTTGCTCAGCAGTGGGCATTTATAGGCTGTTGATGATTAAAATCGAAGCACTTTTTTCAATGAACAGGCACCCGTACAACGACGAAATAGATTTGTTTATTCCAGTCAGTCCATTAGCAAATCTAGGTGCTATTTGATCCAACCTGACAAAAATAGCCAACTAGAATTCAAAAGACCAATAATAAAAGGCGACTAGAATGAAAATAGTAAGCAAGTAGCTCATTTCAAACGGGGCACAAAGCAATGAAATTTATACCCCGTGCTGACACCGGCAAAACATTGTGATCACCACCAATTACCACTGCTACACTGCCTCCACAAATATCACTAGCCTCATCTCTTTCTAACCTACCATTACGACACTCGCCATCCCTTTCAGGCATCACACAAAAGTATTCTTAATCATTTCTTTGGCAAAACCAAAAGGACGTATCTAGAAATTGTAGTTCTATGAATTGCTTGCTATGGTTAAAACAATAGGGTTTGAAATTGAATGGTAATGGTTTGAATTTGAATCAGTTTTAACGTTGCAGGAAAATGATCTTTACTTTGAAGAATATAGAGGTTGGTTTATGTTTGTGCAGTGTTATAATAGGCTCGTTAGCATTGTAGTAAGAGGATAATGACAGGAGTATTATGACGATAGCAATAAAGCTTACATTCCCTTGTCCAGTTGGTTAGTAGTAATAAAATAAAATAACGTTTTGACAACACCCCGTATGGAGGCGTGGCGAGTGAGTTTACGCGCGATAGCCGCGGAGTGCAGACGTGTCGCACGACGCGGGTTAAATTGTAATTTTTTAAATTAAATTTAGAAAACGGAAAATTAGTATTGTTGCTTATAAAATACAATTGAGCAATTTTATAGTGATGACAATGAACTGAAATTTAATTAAAAAATAATAGACATGGAACTAAAAACATAAAGTGATATTTTTTTCAAATTCACGCCTTTGAAATGAAAAATATATAAAAAAACACTACAAAAACAATTAAACTGAACGTGTTTTAATCAAAAAAAGAATGTAACGAAACAAAAACCCAATAAACAAAGACTGTTAGCTTGTGATTTTTAGAAAAACAAAAGTGACTGAAAAAAAGAACAAAGTTTAGTGTTAAAATGGAATCGAAAGTCGAAATAAGTGAGACACAAACCCAGAAAAAGGTGCCAAAGCCGTTTTCCATCGAATCTCTAATTGGAGATCGGAAATCACCAGAAATAGATATAGAAAACAATATTTCTGAGAGTTCCAGAAATTCAGAAGAAGATGAGAATGAGAGATTAGAAGGATTAAACCAGATGAGATATTATGCGCCATTTTTGCAACAAAATGGCTTCCCGTTTTTACTGGGATACCCTGAGCCGTGGTTGTCAAGAGTGCTCGGTTCCGTACCGGCCCCAGTGAGGGAAAATCGTGAAGAGGAGAAGAGGGAGAGTCCTGTGAGTGTCGGGAGTGAGGCTGAGAGTGACGGTGGAGAGGAGACTAACCAAGGTTTGTAGGCATTTGTTCCATCTTGTCATCATCAGCCCCGTACTGCTAAAGACTTAATTACTACACCTGCTAAAGTGGATTGGCGATTTTAAACCTATAGTTTAATATTTATAAGTTCAAGTTTACCCACAACGGTTTCCATCACCGTATATTAGTGAACATAAAATAACATAACCTCACGCCTTTTATCCTCGAAGGGGTAGGCAGAGGTGCACATTACGGCACTTAATGCCACTGTACAATGTAACACCCACTTTTCACTATTTATGTTATGAGTCCCATGTAATAGGGGGTGAGCCTATTGCCATATACCGGGCACATTTCCAGACTCCGTGTTACTAATGAGATTTTTAAAAACCCAGTAATACTTTGCCCGACCGGGTAATCGAACCCGAGACCCCTTGCCCGGCAGTCGCACTTGCGACCACTCGGCCAACAAGGCAGTCGTTATATGAATGACTAGCTACTTCCGCGCGGTTTCACACGCTCTTCTCAGCTCCTATTGGTCGTAGCGTGATGTTTTATAGCCTATAGCCATCCTCGATAAATGCACTATCCAACATCGGACTCGTAGTTTCGGAGATTAGCGTGTTCAAACAAACAAACTCTTCCGCTTTATATAATAGTATAAGAGTATACGATGTCTAACTAAAATACTAATTACTATCCTTTCGATGTGCCGCGCTAATTGTTAGCCTTGCAACAATTATAGACCCTACGGGAAATAAGGGTGTCAGTTGGTGCAGCCACTGACACACACAGATTAACTATTGTAGATAGTACCTACAATAGTACAAACGAATACAGAAATATATTTTTTAACCCCTCTCTTCAGCCTGCTGAGACTGTTGACTACGTAATCGGATAAATACTTTTAAGTGGGGAAGAGCCATGCTTCGGCACGAATGGGCCGGCTCGACCGGAGTGATACCACGGCCGAGCAGAAAACCGACGTGAAGGAACTTGCGTTGTGTTTCGTCGTGTGAGTGAGGTTACCGGAGACCCAATTACCCACTCCCTAGTCCCCGTCTCCCGAATCATCAAATCCCCAATTCCCAAAAGGCCGGTAACGCAATTGTGTTTCGAGTGTCCATGGGTGACGCCGATTGCTTACCATCAGGTGATCCGTATGCTGTATAAAAATCTTGTCATAGTTACAATGATTAAATACTCAAAAACAATAAACAAATGAAAACACTATATTAAAATTCATATTCTACGCGGACAAAGTCGCGGGTAACAGCTAGTTTGTAATAAAACCGATCTTAATTAAAACCCTTTGTATTGATCTAAAATTCTAAATTATTGACAAAAATCTAGATATTGATATTGCATTGAGAACTTAATTACAGCTGTTAATCTTTAGAACCTAGATCACATCATTTATTTTTCAGCCAAAAATAAATTAAATAGACTTTTCAAGGCCTTTAAATAAAAAACAATAATCACAGACCTAAATAAATCATTATGTTTTCGGCTTACTCACGTAGTAGTTTGACGAGGAACTCGACTAGTTTCAAGCCATGCTAGAGGGTCATATTCATGAGCAGCATTTCGCGACCCGCGACGCGGCGACTGTCGCGCTGCTACTACACAGACCTATGAAACAAACTCAACTCAATTACCTCAATACTCTACTCAACTAACGAGGCAATATTTCATGACACTATAGAAAGATGTCTTCACTGAGTTCCTCCTAATGGTGAAGGTGTGTATCTAATGGCGACTACCACTCAAGTAGGCCCATTTGTTATCTTACTGGACATTGGTATTGTCGGACAATCATGTCGGATTCACATATGTAGACCTACCTCTATAGATTTACTTTTTTTAAAGGGGAAAACTAAAAACTTTAATTCAAAACTATTTATTTCAATTAAACCATAATTTGGTACTTTTGAAACGTCAACAAATATATGATAAATAATAATCTGTTAGTCTGTCCGTCAGTGAAGCTGGTTGCTCATTCCAAAAAGTAGATCAGAGTGCAGAAGAACGAGCAAGAAACTCCATTCGTTACTCTTTATCAATTCAATTAATTCTCCCGCCCGTGTGAGGCGAGAGGGAGTGTTAGACTCTCGAAGGGCGAATGAAGTTATTGGATGATTTTCCTCCCTTCAAAAAAAGGCTCCAGAATGTGGTGTTCACTGATTTTAATATGGAAATTTATAATAAAACAACTTTGTTTAACTATAGTAAGTAGTGCACCGCTCAAGGGAACGTTCGCCCGCCACTTCTAACAGATGGGAAGTGTGTGGTGCGACACCGTTGACCTGTGACTACATTTATTGTTTATATATAGATGGATTACGCTTTTTGACCTAAACTCCATTGAACTTTATCTATCAAAAATTTACTTCAAATTAAAGGTCTGTTAAGGGGACTACATATTTGACAGAGATCAGGCAGCAGTGCTCTCTGATACACTTGAACCATTAAACTAATCATAGTGGAGATTACAACAAACCTTCAATAATATGTAACGTATGTGGCTAAAATACAGGAATGTCCTATCTAACTATCACGAGCTATTGATGATGATGATGAGGAAACATTAGTTGCCCACAGTTTGGGCAATGGGCACTGTAGCTATCATCTTTTGAAGAGTATTTTAGCCGTCGGTGTCTAAAACCATAATACAATTTTTTCTTCTTTCTACCTTTTGAATTGAAGATTGGAGGGATTATCATTAGATGCTGCCAGATCTTTATTTTGTAAATTCATAATATACAATGGCTATCAAGAACACTTACAGGGTAGATGACTAATTTTTATTATAATGTCCGTCTGTTAGATTATTATAAATCATTAGACACGTATTTTTTATTTTCTTACAGAAACGAATACTTTCGACTATATATTGATTTGAAATGTCGCGTGACGTCACTTCTATGTACATTTTATACGTAGAAATGACGTTTTAGCCCCGACTCCTAAACTTTGATGCTTTTTATCTAAGTATTGTTTTATTATACGACAAAATAATATCTAATATCTTTTCATTACCTAACTGATGGACTAATTAGATTTGTAATTTTCATACCCTGTCATCATCCCTATTCACGTCCTCTATTAGATGACGCATAATAAAATCAAAGATAAACATCAACTGTAAACGATTGTAGTTTAACCGTAGGACCGTATAGTGAGCGTTGACTTCCCTTCAGGGAATAAAATAAACTGATAGTATTATTGAACGCTTTCCAAGTTTGTCCACTTGAACATCTCCCTACGCGACCGACGCTCGGCACCCCGCGTGTCTTTTGACGCGACCTTTGGGATTTCAATTTCATTTTCCTGATTCGTTGGATCACTAATGCAATGTTTTCGTAAATAATGTAATGAAATGGTCAATTTAATCTCGTTTAGATAAAAATTTGGCATGTGTTTAAAATGCCCACATTGTTTTTTCTTCTATACAAAACTAAACTCGCGAAGCCTTGCCCCGGCGACAGCTTCTTATATTATTTTTTACGGTATATGGAAAGCAATTACCATGGAAGTTCCTACACCTGGAACACCAGAGGTTTCCCGTAATAGCCTAGTAACACATCATAAATGTAAATATTGTTTGTTTGCTTGTTTTTAATTCATCTATGCGCTTTGTCTATTTAACTAATCTCCTAAAAATTGTGTGTAATACTTAATGTTTTTTTGTGGTATAAGCCGGTAAACGGCCATTCGGATCACCTGATAGCAAGCAAGCAATCGGCATCGCCCATGGACACCCGGAACACCAGAGTATGTTACCAGCCTTTTGGGGATTAGGAATTGAGGGATTGAGGAGATTGGGGAGGAGAGGGGGTAATGGGTCTAAAAAAGTAAATCAAAAGTCTAAAGTACCTAAATACTTATTATATAATAAGTAGTAATTGGTACTTTGAAGTACAGAGGAAGAGCATTGGCTACCTTTTCAAGCAGCCAAACCGCGAATAAAAGCAAGCTCATTATTTTATTTTGGCACAACCTCGACCCCAAAATTAATAACCTCTAGAATCAGTTCACACAACTCCGTTAGTTCCCCTAAACATTTGAAATCAACAACTAAACGCAATTAGAAATGGCTGCTTGACGTTTAAAAAGATTATTTCACGCCACTCGAACGCATCTGTAGCGTGAAATTGTACAAGTATCCGAACTGCTGCCATTTTGGCGGGAGTTGTTCAGGTGACATCTGTCAGATTTTTGCTACTTTTTTTTTCTAGTAAATTTTTTTCGGCATTGATATCGGTTTAAAGAAATTTATTTCTCATAAGAACATACAGTCCACTTATAATGAGATACAAAGTAATAAACAAATATAGTAGGTAGTTATGCGTAGCCAACCCTTACCTCGCTTAGTAACAGTCAACTAACATCACACCATGCCACCCAGCAGTTCCAGGTAGCCTCTAGACTCGAGTGTCTAATGGCCAATTCTCATAAAATTAAGTTTGTCAAAACAGTTAAAGAAATTAGATCGACAGATCCCTGTTGCTGGCCAACTGCGAGGTCCAGCCACAGACACACACATGTAAAGCTTTTCAGTAGTATATAAGTCCATATAATCTTAGTTCAGATGTTCTTTTGTTCATTATCATTTTAAAGCTCATTCTGAGCACACGTGTAATTAATAAATAAATATTTTTTAATACAAATCTTGCGCGTTCATATTTGACTAGGTACAATACAAATTTCCTCCAGAGTATTAGCAGTTATAATGTACTTAAATGTTTCTTTAGCTTATATTTAAATGTGTTCACGTTATCGCACTCTTTGATATCGTCGGGTAATGCATTGAACAGATGTACTCCTTCATATAATATAGTCTTTCTACCGTAATTCGTGCGTACGCTAATGACTTCCAGTTTGTTTTTATATCTATTTCTCAAGTTATGTGACATTGTTTTTTTCTTTAGTTGTATGTTAGTTTGTATTGAGTTTGAAGTAATGTTTTTAATAAAAATGC